TCTCTCACACACACACACACACACACACACATACACACACACACACACATACACACACATACACACACACACACACACACACCAAATCTACTCCGACAAAAAATGTTCTCTATTTCGTGTTACGCAAAAATAATGTGCTTGCAAGTACATTTACACCTACAAATAAAAATCCACAATAAAAAAACCAACAAACCAAAAAGCAAACAAACCAGCGAGCGAACAAACAAACGAACACATACACAACACAGGAGGATTGTATCTTCCTCCCGCCAGCCCTGCATGTGTACCTGTTCTCCTTTTTGGGATGTTACATCGCCCGAGATAGTTTCGTTCGTCAGACCTTCTACGTGTTCCAGCTGCTCCGTCTTTTCCTGGTCATGGCCGGAGTCCTGCCCTGTGTGTTACACTGGTGAGCACACCTGTTATGTTTTTATAAAACTAGTAAATAAATAAATTACACTTTTATTTGTCCCAGAAGGGCACTTCGATTTACAAGGGCAAACATGCACATAATACACATACATACATACATACATACATACATACATACATACATAACTATAAAAATACGTACATACATAAATACATGTAAAAATACATACATACACATACACAGAACAGCGCGCTCATATGACCTTACGCAGTTGCGAGCGCCGTAAAACCCTATACTACTACTACTACTACTACTAAACACAGAACAGTTTACAATCATGCCTCTGTTCGTCGCCACTGTCAAGACAAGGACACACCCTAGTGACCACCCATCTGATTCCCGTTTCACCGACACTCGCTTGACATAACTTGAGTCTAAACTCACTACTTACTTAGCCACTGGAGCCTACAGTGTGGCAATTACAATGACAATGACAATCTTCATTCTTCTCGAAGGGAGAAATTTGTCTTGGACATTAACAATGGCAGTAGACGTTACAAAGGTTAGGTGCAGCACTCACGCATACGCACAACAAGACAGGACAATTAGTAATATTATAGTAAATACAGGTCTCATGTGCTGAAACAACCCTATCCGCAAAATATTCTCTCTCTCTCTCTCTCTCTCTCTCTCTCTCTCTCTCTCTCTCTCTCTCTCTCTCTCTCTCATCATCTCCATTGACAAAACTTGGGCCGCTTGAACTGTTCTGACAGGGCCGAGAAGAAATGTGTTGTTACTCCTCAGAAGAGGAATGGAACTACAGGTACTCTAAACGATACCACTGGCAATTATTGTTCACTTGCTTTAAAATAAAGCCCACAAAGCAAAATATTTCAGGAGTGGGACAACATTGTGTTTTATTCCTATAACAGCTGTATCTACACGATGTAGATCTATCATTCTTCAATTTTGTTTGAATATTTAGAATTTGAATTTTGACAGAATATTTCTCGGACACATGCGTCTGATAAGCAGATTAAGACCTGCAATTTTAAGAAAATAAAGAAAAAAGATATATGTTTTCACTGTTTTCGGTTTAGTACATCTGAGCAGAAATAAAGGTAGTTAAGTCTTCGGTCGCCCCTACCAACACAATTTCGATCACTAAGGAGGCGTGCTCCGTTGTTAACTCCGTCACCGTCAATTCCAACACCCTCAAATCTCCCATTCCCAATTCGTCCATCCTCAATTTCTCCACCCGAGTTCCACCATCCCCGAGTTCCATCATCCCCAATCCCCCACCCTTTATTCCTCCACCCTCTATTCCCCCCATCCTCAATTTCTCCACCCGAGTTCCACCATCCCCCACCCTTTATTCCCCTACCCTTTATTCCTCCACCCTCTATTCCCCCCATCCTCAATCCCAGCATCCTCCATTTCTTAATCCTAAATAGCCCAACCTTCAAATCTTCCCCCCTCAATAATTCCTCCATTATTAACGCCTTCACACTAAATCCCTCTTTTATAAACTCCTCCACCCTCAACTCTTCTCGATCCCCAACCACCCTTCCCCCCCCCACCTCTTCAGTCAGCTGTCCCAACTGCTGCCCAACACAACGGAGGAGGAGTTCCCTCTCATGGTCGCGGCTCTCCTCCTGGCGAATGTGCTCCTAGCCCTGGCCGCGAAAGCGTTAATTGCCTTCCTCCTGCTCAACTACAAGAAAAACACCCGGGTCAAAATGGAGCAGCGCTGGCCCCGAAATAGGGAGAATGTCTCTCGTTAACAAGGACCAGTCAGTAGTTATCTTTTTTCATCTTTCTATTTTAC